CGCTCAGGGAGAAGGCAGATCTGGGCACAGTGGAAGATCAGAGAGAGGAATGGAGACCACGGCTTGAAACCTGGGACCCTGAGCATGCTCCTGTGCTTCTACAAAGCCGAGACCTTGTGCCCAAACAAAGATCAGCCTGGAAACTGGGGGATCACTGCCCTCCCAGCTGCCGAGTGCCAGTCTCAAGATCTGTGCGGGCGTCCGGGCATGTGTGTGTGTGTGTGTGTGTGTGTGTGAGAGATTGCCTCTCCCATCTCCTGTAACACCTGCCTCCTCTGAAACTCCCCCGGCTCCTGTCACTCTGCGACTTTCCTCTTGGATGGGGGCAGGAGGTGGGTGGGCAGCTCGTTGGGCAGCTCATGCCCTTCCAGCTTGACTTTGATGAGGTGGTTGGCTAGTGCAAACTCCTCGTCATTCAACATGCCATCCTTGTCGATGTCAGCCAGCTTCCAGATCTTGCCCAGTACGCTGTTGGGCAGCTTAGAGCGTACCATCTCCTTCTTGGCGTTGGCACCTGTGATCTTGCCATCCACCGGTGACAGAGTGTAGAAGATCTCATCGTACATGGGCTTGTCCCTGGCCACCACCCACTCAGCATCGTCGATGCCCTCCCCGGCCCCCTCCCCATAGCCGTGCCCAAAGGGGCCATGCAGGGTGCCCTCGAATGCTCCACCCTTCACCATCTGGACGGGCCGCTGCGTTTCCTCCTGGCGCACCAGCACCATGAGCTGAGCAATGTCATGGGCCAGCATGTCATCTACCACTTCCAGCAGCTTGCTTTTCAGGGGCTGGAATTTGCTGAAGTCCTGGGCCTGAAGCTGGTCCTAGGAAGAGGGAGAGAAATGAGGGTAAGGATGAAAGACAACAAAAGGGGATCCTACTCGGGGAGGCTGCCTTCTGCTACCCTGAGAATGTTCATAAGCTGTTGGGTTGGAGGCTGAGCTGATCCACATCACACAATAATAACAAACGAGGGAGAAGGAGAAAAAAGGCATCTGGGCTCTTGGTAGAATTTTTTAGGGGAGAGTAGAACAGTTGCAGGGGCTGGGAAAGAAAGGAAAATTTAACAAATATTGATCTCATCCATTTACGTTGTTCTAGAAAGCAAATAATTAAATTTCTCTTTCAGTTAGTTTTGGCTATTGAACAGTGGTTCCTGAATGCTGTGCCCCTCTAAGACTGAGGCACGTGGGTCTCTATGTTAATAAGGTTTATACTTGAAAAACACAAAGTACTTTCACTATATTATCTCATTTGCTCCCCGCAGTGCCTTTCTGAGGGAGGAAAATCATATTCTATCTATTTTAGGGAAGGAACTATAGATAACTGAAAAAAATCATAATAGAAGCCAAAAACCCTTCTCAGACCAGTGGTTCTCAATTGGGATACTCATTGGAATCATGTGGGGAGAGTTTCTAACTATCAGATCCTCTCTCAAAGTTTCGGACACAGCAGACACGGCAGGCGTGCAGATTCTGCAAAAGCTCCCCTCTTGGCCTTCCCACAACACCCCCAGCACAAGGTAAGAGAAATATGCTGTCTTTGTGATTTGGAAAGGTCTTGAGTCTAGAACACCTTGCTTCTCCTTGGCCTCTGTAGTGACAAAAATGAGAGCTTTCTGCTTCTGCCCTGGCCAGAGCAATCTCAGGACACTGGGCAGAGGCCGTGCACAGGGCACAGCCTCAGGGACAAGCACATCGAGTTCACTGCCGAAAAATTCTGAAAACACCCACAGCTACATTTCAAGAGCAAGCGATAGCTTGGGTATTCCTCACCTCCCTTCCAGGGCAGGGCCGAACCAGGAGGCAGTGGGGGTTGGGAGGGGGTGGGGAGGACAGATTGGGCAAGCCCTTCCTCCTGCCCTCAGGGCATAACCTCCCAAGGTCCCTCGCATCTCTCCCAGCCAGTTCACATCTCAGTGTGTTTGGTGGGCTCACAAACAGGCGTCCCAATATTTTCCAGGGGGCGTCGTGGGTGCTCCCATCCCCCCACACATACGCCCCCACAGAGCAGCCCTTTACGTTGATTCAGCATACCAAACATAGGACCGGCAAACAAACGAGAAGGTGTGTTGAGAAAGGATTCCTCACAGTAAAACGGACAGACGTCCTGTGGTTACCTTCAAATGTCATCCTCTCAAATGTTTGCTTACAGAGTATTAAATTATTTTTTCTTATTAAAAGTTTTTGGGGGTGACGTTGATTAATACAATCAAATAAGTTTCAAGTGTACGATTCAACAGTACGTCTTATATATATTGCATTGTGTGTTCGCCACCTAAAGTTCGATTTCATCACTAAATATTTGACCCCTTTTACCCCTATCTACCTCCCCCTCCCTTCCCTTTCCTCTGGTAACCACTAAGTCCACTGTCTGTGTCCATGAGTCTCTGTTTGTTTGTCATGTTTGTTTGTTTGTTGCTTTCAGTTTTATATCCCACATGTGAGATAATTAAATTCTTATCAGAAAGAGAAACTAAAAGTTGAAGTGTTCCGAGCTGCAGCTGGAGGGACACCCGAATTACGTTAAAGTAATTCTGAAATGAGTGACTGGCCCGTGGTAGGCAGTTACAGGACTGAATGGGTACAGGAACAAATGCATACTTTAAATGTCTATTATCTCTTCTTATTTCACCAAATAAGGAACCGAGAATGCCTATTTGGGACTATAGTAATATTCTGAAACCCTAGTCTTAAACTGAGAAACAGATTCCCAAGCTAAAGATCAAAATCAGCACCAAGAGCAAAAACAATATTACGACTACATCTGCTGCTACTTTTTCTGTAATTCCCTAATTTTTAAAAACTTTTTATTTTAGAATAATTATAGAATCATGAGAAGAGGTGAAAATTATACAGATAGGGAGGTCCTTTGTGCTCATCACCCAGGTTGCCCCAGTGGCGATATCTTACTTAACTTGCTACTGAATTTTAAGGGCATAGTGTGTACCAGGCTCTGTGCTAAGTGTCTTGTAAGTATTATCTCACTGATGCTCGCATCATCTATGTAAGGTGAGTGCTTCTGGAACCTCAGTTTACAGATGAAGAGACAGAGGCTCAAGGAGGATTTAGTTAGTTAGTCTGGTGTTGTAGTTTCTTGCTTGGGCTGTGAGGATAACTCCCTGGCTTTTCTTCTGGCAGGCTGTGTGAACACTACACTCAGAAAGCTGCAGGCAACTAACTGCAAAGGTTAATTATCTCTATAAACCTCAGTTTGCTCATCTTTAAAGGTAGGATAAAAATGCCTCCTTCAGAGGACTACTGGGGGGAATAACAAGAGCAATCATTTGTGATGGTCCCTGGACAAAAGAGGGGCCCACAGTGTGCCCCCAAAGATGGCAAACTCCTGTGTGGACTTCTCTGTGCCTTGTGTCCCAAATCACTCCCGAGTGGGAGCTCAGAGAACAGCTTAAGCACTTGAGGGCCTGGAGAACCTTTGTCAGGAGACTTGTACCATTTCACATGACATGGTGGGGATTCTGAGCTTGTGGTGGCTGTGACTGGGGAAGATCATGAGCTAGAGATATCAGACCCCAAACATCACGTGACAGCCCTGCCCCTCTAGGAGCACTGGGGCTCTGCGTTTCTCTCCAGGCCCAGATATGACACCTGCTGGGCCAATGACAGCTCAGCAGGGAGCACAGACCGAGGGTCATCTCCCTGCATTCTGATTCTGGGTTGAGTTTCCATCTGGGGCATCCAAGTGTGGCCTCCTCCATACTCAGGCTGTTCAGCCAAGTTGTGTGATGCTGTCCCTTGTCCTGGAGCCCCAGACCCTGGTTACCTGCATCCTCTTGAGGTTGGGAAAGTCCCCAGGAGAGATCTGGTGCTCCCGCTCGATCCGGCCATAAATCTCAGCCAGGTTGTTCACCAGCTCCTTCTTCTTGTTGTCCTTCCCGAACACCGAGGGCATCTCCTTCTTCAGAGAGCTGATGATGTAGGCATGGACCTGAGAAACGAGGGCAGAGAGAACGCTTCAGATCAAGACTCTCGATTCATTCCTTCCCCCTAGGTGGCTCTCGCCCATCTCTTCCCGTAAACCCCTCCTTCTCCTGCTCCGCTTCTGAAACAATCCCTATCTCTACCTTCTTGCTCTCATACTGCTGGCAGCGCTGAGCTGTTTTTCCAGCTCTCATGGGAGAGGTGAGATTGTGGGGAGGTTAAGGTCAAGGCAGTAACAGGGATGGTGATACCGGAGACGATGTTGAGGAGGAGAACAATTAACAACAGCTGATATTTACTGAGCACTTCGGAGGTCACAGGCAGTGTGATGAGGGCTTTTACATTCTCTATTCTACCTTATCCTCCAACCCTTTGATTTTACAGAGGTGGATACAGGCACAGAGAGACGAAGGGCCTCACTAGGGTTGGGATCACGCAGTTAGTAAACAATGGAGTTGGGCTCTAATCTGGCCATCTGATGCCTATGAGTATAACCACCACACTATCCTGCCCCACAGCTGCTGGAGTTAGCACAGCTGACACTCATGATGCAATAAGACAGTCTCACGTGGGCAGGCAATAGATCAGGGTTGCAGGCAGCACCCCTTAGCTCTTGCAGCTGAGCTCCCCACCCCAAACCCTTGGTGCCACCCATGCCGCCCATCTCCTCAGGAGGCAGCCTTACCTTGGCCAGCCTGGCTCTCTTGATGAGGTCATTGAGCTTGCGCAGGGCAGCGTTTCGGGGCAGACTCTGAATGTCTCTGAACAGGTCCTGCTCCTCAGCCTCAAACAGCTTCCGGTTGTCGGGGATGAGAAGGGGGTGGGACCAGAAGGAGCCGATGTAGACCCGGATCACCTCTGGGGTATTAACGATCTTCCCCAGGGACCACATGAGGGCTCCATACACCCGCATCAGCTGCTGTGTCTCGATCTGGTCGGCCTTGTTCAACACCACCCGCATCTTGTCCTCGTGGTTCTTGAGGGCCTTGATGACTTCCGAGAACTCATCCGAGATGTCCAGCTTGTGGGCGTCAAACAGCAGGATGATACGGTCCACCCGCTCAGCGAACCACTCCAGGACGGCAGCAAAGTCATATCCTGCCGGCAGAGGGACAGTCAGGGAGCAGGGACTTTGGGGCACAAGCTAGGTGTTTGGGGAGAGGCACAAGGTGCAGCAGAAATAACAGTCTTGGGAATCAGATCTGGGTTCAAATCCTGGCTCCTCCACATTTTCACTATTTGGCCTTGAGCAAGTTACTCTGTGTCTCTGGGTCAGTGCTTTTTCATCTGTAAATGGGCATACTAACAGTACCTGATTAATAGAATTATAAGGACTAAATACGCTCAGAGCCCAGCACTTAATAGCTTGCTCAATAAATACTAATTATTATTAACATCATTATTCCTATTTAGTCTTTTCATTAAAGGAAAGGGGCCCTCTCCAATAAGGGTCAGGGCCCAGGAAAGGACTTTGGGGCTGGGCTCTGCCCAGTTAAGGAGGTAGGTGCCTTGTCTGTGCTACCTAGAGATGGTCACACAGCAACTCAGCGAGGACCACCCTGCTTGTAGGAGGCAGCTGGTGAGAACGATACCTAGTTCTCTAACCCCAGGTTCAATGCTTGCTCTGCTGTCAGAAGTTCATGTCATGACCTCATTTCACCCTCATGGCACCCTCTGTGGTAGGCAGAGTGAGGAGTATCATTCCCACCTTCCAGAGGAGGAAACTGAGGTTCAGAGATAAAGCGAGAATCAAACAGCTGGCAAGGAGTGGGGCCAGGACTGGACCCAACCACCCTGAGGCCCTGAGCTTCCTGCATGAGCCAAAAGGGCAGCTCCCTGTCTCCCTGCCCACCTCTCTGTCTCCCTGCCCTCCCCTCCCCTCTCTTCCCCACTCCTCCCCAGGAAGAAAAGCCCTGCCAGCAGCTCACGCAGAGCCCAGGAGGCCTCATACTTTCTAGTTTCAGGTGGGCCACCCCTCCCCAAGGATGGCTCCTGGCTATTTTTAATCTTCTCTTCAACACAGCCAGGTAGAGGGGCTGCTCTTGCTTCTCAAAGGCAGTCCCTCAGAGCTGTGGGAAGGACGGGGCCAGAGGGCTCAGAAAAATCAGGACAACCTGATCTCCCTGCCCCAACCCCCACCCTAGAAAACAGGTCACAGCTTCACTGCTTTGGTGCTTGGAACCAGCAAGCAGGCCCTCCTCGTGGCTAGGGAGGGCTGCAGGGCTCAGGCATCTGGCATTCTGCTGAGACCTATTCCCAAATCTGGCCTGACTAGGATTTAGCCGAGGCGTGCAGACCATCGGGGTGGGCGGCAGCTGGGAAGAGCACGCTACTGCCCTCTCCACCTGTACAGCCAATGGCAGCCCTCAGTGCTCACTGTATCAGCCACTCTTAACCATCTGAGCAGCCAGAGCAGCCAGCACTGGGCACTCTACTGACAACGAAATGAAGGGTCATGGAGGGTGAGAGACGTGCCCAGGGCCACACAGCGGTAAGGTTAGAGCCAGGACCAGAACTCAGGGCTTCCAACCCCAAGTCCACCACTCTAGCCGCTGCTTAGATTGCTGGGGAAAGAGAAAGGGCCAGAGAAGCTGCAGAGAAAAGAGGTCCCATCCCTCCAGCCTCTCCCCCATCCCCGATGGCACCAGCCACGCAAGAGGATGCTTGGGCTATGAAGGCTTGGAGGTGGACAGGGGCAAATCCCAGAGCTGACCAGCCCCCGACTCAGGGTGAGGGAAGAGTGACAGAACCAGGTCAGTGCTGCCAGAACAGGATGGCCCCTTGCTCGTTCCTGTCCCCACAAAACTGAAATGTGAACCCTGTTCTGCTCTTTACACCCAGGGGATAGTGAACCAGTTATCTCTGGGCCTCAGTTTTCTGGTCTCTGAATTAAAACCCACCAGACCCTGCCATAGGGTCCCTGTGAGGATTCAGTTAAAGAAGAGGATGTGGGTGAAAGTGCCTGTGACCTTGGCTGTTCCTATTGCTCCGTCCCCTTTATGAAGAGCTCCTTCCAAGAGCCAGTTTCCATGAGGTGGGTATGCTCTGAAGAATCACCTGAGGAGCACTGGCCTGGGAAAAGCCCACCTCTACTTCTGCTCAGCCATTAACTTGCTGTGTGTCCTTGGGCAAGCAGTCTCCCCTCTCTGGTCTCTTTGCCTGTCAAGCCAGGGGGTTGGACTTGAAGATTTTGAGCTTCCTTTCTCAGTTCATGATTCCTTGCTTCTAAGACTGGAGGTGTGAGGGTGGAGAGTACAGCAGGGTGGATGGAGATTAGGTACAAGAAAGCCCTTGCAGGACAGGAAGAAAGAAGGCAGGGGCCACTGTCTTAAATGTCTCGGGATCCTGAGGACAGCAGATGGCTTCTGGGAACCCTTTCTAGGATTTTATAAGCACAGAGGCTTCCTATTCATGCTCCTACTTTTGCAAATTCTGCATGCTCGGGCAAGCTGCTATCAAATTATAGAGTTAGTCATGCCGGGCGCTTTCTCCCAGGTGTGGCTGTGAGAACCCTGAGAATTGAGCAAGGACTCCATGGGTCTCCTCTGAAGCTCAGCCTCCTGCTCCTGGCTATTCAGAGACTAGCAGTCTCCAGGATGAGTATTTAATTGTTTCCTGGACTCTGCTTATGCACATCCAGGAATGGGAGTATCTGAAAGGCAAGGACTGGACCCACTGAAGAAAAAGGCATGGAACTAGCTCTCCCATTTATTTTCTGTGTGGCCTTCGGCGAGTGTGAACCTCAATTTTCTTAGCAGTAAAATGGGTATAATAACACCTGACTGATGAGGGGTCAGTGGTACAGCCATGGCAATGAGATTTGATAGCAGAGAGAGGGTCTGGACTTAGTCTGGAGTCTCTCCCCCAATGTCTGGGGTGAACAGGACACCCAGTGACAGGCTCCCTTTTCCTCAGTGGTCCCAGAAATAGCTCAGACCCACAGGAGGAGCTCTTGAGCACTTGCAGCAGCCCAAGGGCTCATGAGATAGGGCAGTGGGTGAGGGAGATTCATGCCCCAGGAGACTGATAGTCAAACTGGTTTTCTTGGAATTGCTTAGAGCAAGTCTGCTGGCTCCAAGAGATCTGGTCTGCGGGCACTAGGCTGAGCAGCCTTCAGGGGCCTGGGGCTCTCCGTACTGCCCCCACCCTCAGACTCTAGAGGACTGAAAAGACAGAATTTCTAAGTAATGCCAGGCAGGAGGAAATCAATGAGACAAACAATAAGCAAGGCCAATTTTTTAATCACCCACTGGCTTACTTTGCAGGCTGAAGTGCAAGGGACAAGGCAGCATATTTCTGTGTATTTTCAACCACAAGATTTCCTTTGATCCTCATATCTCTGCATATGTCAGCAGGCAAACAGGGCACACACATCTCACAGGGAAGGCGGAGGGAGCAGACAGGTTAAGGGGCTCGCCCACACTCACACAGCCACGTGGTAGCAAACTTGGGACTGGAATCCAGATCCTTGATCCTTGTCCACATTTCCTTCTGGCTCACAGCTGTGTATAAGGCTGGAGCTCAGAGGGCTGAGACCTCAAACCAGGCACTTATCTGTGGTGGGTACATAGTCCTGCCTCCAAAAATGCCTTTCAAGATTGAAAGACATTTTAGCAAAAAAGAAACCAAAAAGACATCAATTTCAAAAACTGTGGGAAGAATTTAGATGACACAGGGAACATGCCTCCCAGAAGTGGCCCAACAGACTCGTCACAGGCCTCCAGATGACCACAAGGCTGTCACCGAGCTCTTTTGAAGGGCGGCAGGACTCTGCTGCTCTACCCTGGAGCAGGATGCCTGCTTGGGCACACATAAACAGCACATAGTCCGAAGCCCCAGAGGTCCTTAAATGCAGGCCCTGCTCCAGTGAGGGTGCCAGGAATAGGACAGGGACGTGAGACTGTGAGGATCAGCCCAGACCCCCTTAAGGTCTCCCAAGGAAAACCCGGAGATGAGTTTGCCTTCATTCCTACGTCTTGCCTTCTTCCTGGGCAGGTGATAAAAATGGGCTGAAAAGCCACTGGACTCGGTATCACGAAGCCAGAGTTCCAACTCCAGTTTTGGGACCTGGAGAAGGTTTCTACCTGCTGTGGCTCTGCTGAGCTCACCTGCACCGGAAGGGGTCTGCTGGGAGGGATGTGCGCTCCATGCCAAGAGGTCGCTTTTCTAGGGTTGGACCTGGGGGATTTCTAGCTGAGAAGCAGCCGGGAAGTGTGGTTCCCAAGTGTAAGGACACTCAGGCTTCCGGAGCCCTTCCACCTCTGCTGCTTCCTTGCTCCTTCCCAGTAATGAGCCCCGGGCTGGGCACATCCTGTCACTTCCAGGAACTGCCTCCCTGCCCCTCTGCTGCCCACCCCAATGCACCTTCATCCAGAGACAAGTGCCGGCCTACGACCTGCCAGTTTCAGGTTCCTGGATGTCCCTCGCTCTTCCTGTTCCTCCAAGACACCCACCTCCAGACTCGGGCTGAGGGGCCACACCCTGAGCAAGGACCACACTTTGCCCAGTGCTGGCCTGGGGCCTGAGTGCACCTTCGGGTGAAGCTTGAGGCCTGGGGAGCCCTTTGGAGCAGCTTACTTTCCAGAATGTTAGCACGCCGGGACCAACAGCCTAGGGAAGGCTTTATGCAGATTTGATAATGGTGTCCCTTTTATTCTGGTGAGAAACAGCCCTGTGCCAGGCATGAAGCTCAGGCAGAGCAGAACGTGGGCTGGACTTCAGGCTCTGCACGCCCCTCAGCCAGGTTGGGGGTTCTGTCCTACCCTGGGCTGGCAGAAGGAAGGGAAGAAACACCAAATCTGTGCTTTAACCAAACCCAGAGCTCTGAGGGCCCTGGCAAGAAGCACACACTTGTATGTAGGAGGGTGTGTGGAAGGGGGTGTGAGTGTGTGTGGATGTGTGTAGATGTGTGGGTGTTTGTGTGGACTGGTGGGTATTTACGTGTGTAGGTATAGGTTGAAGCTTTCAGGTCCTATGGCTGATTGTGAGGAGGGAGGAGGAGGGACTGCATCCTGGAAAATTTCCTCATTTGGGGTCCCCTTGATATCTGAGAGCGTGTGACCCCCACCTAATTTTCCTGGTCTCCTTGGGGAGCTGAGGTTAGCACTGCCTCGGGAAAGTGATGCAGTGCTGGAGGCCTAGCTCCCAGCTCTTGTTATTATCACAGGCTTTTGCCAGCAGCTGCATTTATAGTCTGTACTCAGGGGGACGGAGAACAAACAGGCCTGGGGAGCCACTCATGGGGCTATCACTTCTAGAGGTGGAGCTTAGTCTCGTTAGACGGGAAAGGATAGGAAGGGCAGGCAAGATGACCCAGCACCCATTTTGCACAGGGCAGCTGCTGAGGTCCTAATATACATACAGGGGAGAAACTAGAAGATTAGGAAAAGAATGAAATGGGACAGAAGCTAAGGAAGGCAGGGGTCCTGGAAGCAGGGCTGCCTACCCCAGATTACCCTGGGGTTGTTCAATGGGCGGCCCTGGCTGGCAGTAAAGGGGAAAGAAGGAAGCTCACTGAGATCCAGACCCAGAGCTGATGTCTCTGTTTCCATCACCATCCATGGACCTCACAGGGTCATATGATGGGTATCATTACCCCTTGTCACAGGCTCCAAGAGAAAATGTGACCTGCTGACACCCACGCAAGCTCTAAAACCCCATGCTCTGAGCTCCCAGTCCAGCGTTCTTAGAAACCCCAGAGGCTGGAGTCCTCTCTGGACCCACCTGTCAGGCCGCCTGGCCTTGCAGGTGCAGGTGCCACCTACCCGCTAGGGAGACTAAGTCTGGCTCTCCTGAGCTTTTCTTGAGAGGATAGATATAAGCTGCCCACATGAGACAGTAAATCCCCTTTAGACCTAAACTAAGGATGAGCCCAAGTGCATCTTGCGGGTGTGGAGGTGGGAGGTGAGGGTGGGGACTGGTCAGGAGGCAGGGAGTGTTTAGGGAAACTAATAGAAGTCAGTCAGAGAGCCACCCAAGCTGCATCTCCGCAGGGCCCTGAACAGGGTGCAAGGATGCTTATAAACGGCACAGGGACCAGAAGAGTGAGGAGATGCCCCTCTCTCCTCAAGGCCATGGGTTCTATGGCTTCAGGCCAGCTCCCCCTACCCGTACACCACTGTGCTGCTCTCCACCATCCAGCCCGGGGTTAGGGACCCAGGCTCCCGGAGCCCCTTCACGGGGGCCTTCTATCCACATCCCACTTACACAGATGACAGGCTGCTAATGACATGAACTGTTCACATCGTTTCCAAAGCCTCCCTGAGACTCGCT